GTGGGACTTTAGCTAGTTTAACCATTCGAAAATGGAAGATGCTGAAAGATTTGGCTGAAATAGGATTGTATTGTTTTGATGATGATGATGATAGCAGTGAGTCAGCATTCTTGTTTACTCTCGTGGCTTAACCCACTCTTGTTAGACGGGTGATTGAGTCACAGAGACAGGATTCAGATTTGGATGCCATTTACACTTTGATCTCAGTGGCGAGACCGTGAAGGATTGGACCTTACATGCAGATGGAGGTCTACGGTTTAAAGGTTTGTTGGTTGTTCTTATAGTTTGTCGTGAGGACGTCTTACGGGAGTTTCATACTTCCCGCTTTGCAGTTCATCCAGGTGGTACCAAAATGTATCACAATCTGAGATGTCAGTATTGGTGGAATGGAATGAAGAAGGATGTTGCACAGTTTGTAGCTAAGTGCCTTACCTGTCAGCAGGTGAAGGCCGAGCACCAGAGACCAGCAGGTTTATTGCAACCGTTGCCGGTAGCGCAGTGGAAATGGGAGGAGATTGCAATGGATTTTGTGACAGGTCTTCCTAGGTCACGGAGGGGAAATGAAGCCGTATGGGTCATTATCGATAGATTGACCAAGACGGCTCACTTCTTGCTTATTAAGGCAACAAATGACGCAGAAACACTCGGTGTACTTTATGTGAAAGAGATTGTGAGATTGCACGTAATTCCAATGGCTATTGTGTCAGATAGGGATGCTAAGTTCACCTCAAAGTTCTGGGAAGGACTTCAAGCAGCGTTTTGGCTCAGCGTTGCACCTTAGTACTGCATTTCATCCACAGACGGATGGCCAGTCGGAGCGTACCATCCAGATCTTGGAGGATATGCTTCGAGCATGTGTACTTAACTTGGGTGGTAGTTGGGAGGATCACCTTCCACTTATTGAGTTTGCCTATAACAATAGCTATAAGGCGAGTATTCAGATGGCTCCATTTGAGGCGTTGTATGGTAGACCTTGTAGGTCTCCTGTCTGTTGGACTGAGGTGGGCGAGACAACCGCCTTAGTACCTGACATTGTACTCGAGACTACCGAGAAGATTAAGCTAATCAGACAGAGATTGCTTACAGCTCAGAGCCGACAGAAGAGTTACGCAGATAGGCGGAGACGACCGCTATCCTTTGAGGTGGGAGACCATGTTTTTCTTCGGGTTTCTCCAAGGAAGGGGTTGATGAGGTTCGGGAAGAGTGGCAAGTTGTCGCCACGATTTACTGGACCTTTTGAGATCTTGGACCACGTAGGAGAGGTTGCCTACAGACTAGCATTGCCACCACAGATGGACAGGGTTCATAATGTCTTTCATGTGTCGATGCTACGGAAGTATGAGCCAGATCCGTCTCATATTTTGAGTTGGGTTGATGTGGACATTGATGAGGATGTTTCCTACGAAGATGGACCAATTCAGATTCTTGACACACAACAGAAGGTGTTGAGGAAAAAGACGATATCGTTGGTAAAGGTTCTTTGGAAGCATCATGGAGTTGAGGAGGCTACTTGGGAGCTCAAACAGGAGATTCGCTCCAAGTATCCAGAGTTGTTTTCTCCCTCAGGTATGGCCTGATTTCGGGGACGAAATCTTTTAAAGTTGGGGAGAATATAATGTTGTGATATATATGTATATATATATAATTAATGTTAAAAGAAAAAGAAATAAAACAAGTGGGCCCCACCACTATATTAAAAACATCAAAAAGGCCATAAGGCCATTACAGATACACATTTTAATTCTCTCTCTCGGCAGTTTCCATGTTCTCTCTCTGGAATATTTGTTTTATTTTTGCTTTCACCATTCAAAGCTTGATCTAGCTCTATTCCTTTGAAATTTGGTAGAACATTGTGAAGCAAAATTGTTGAGCTCGTCGAGGCCATCAATTTGATAGGAACCAATCATCATTTGGTGCACTCAAAGGAGTTCGAAATTCTAGGGTTCTTGAGCTCAAATTGGGGGTTTTCATCAATTTAAGGTAGGGGTGTTCTAATCTACAATTTCTTGGCCTTTGGTGAATTTTTCCCCTTAAATTTGATTCTAAGCATGCTAAATTTTAATTACTTAGCTTGTTATTGTTGTAGTTCTTTGTAATTACAATGATAATTGTACTCCTTGTGTTATTTGAGTTCATATACATGTCTATTTTCATTACGGTAAATGAGCATGCTTAGTGTTTAATGTGTTGTATGTTTCCATGATTATTTATTTATTTATTGTCTTGAAGAAAAATGGATGCTATGGTTATAAATAAATAAAGGAAAGGAATGTTTAGAAATTTTCATTAAATTGTGATGATAATGTAAACGGAATTAGTGTGAAAACATATAGTTAAATTAATGATTTGAAGCATGAAGTATTCATGCATCCATTGGGAAAGAGAAAGGGAGAAAAATAATTGTTAGAACAAATAAAATTGTTTTAGGGAAAATATTTTCTAAAAGTGTTGCGAAAATCGGACGCCTAGGAGGCGCCTAGTGGTCCGTGATGTTAGTGTAGTCTAGAAGGGAATGTAGTTGAGTTAACTAGACCGGGTGCGACGCCTTGGAGGTGCCTTGTGGTCGTGGATAGTTAACCAACCTTCCTTTCGTGACGCCATGGAGGTGCCTTGGGTCGGACTACACTAACGGTTTGGTTGTTGAAACGGAATTGTTTCGGAAATGGGGAGTGACATTTGCATAACATTGCACTTTATGACATTGTGGTAAATTTGTGATTGGTTGATATTTGTTATATACTTGTTATTGTGGTTGAAAATGGGTGTTTTCCGATGGCATGATCCCGTTCACTTTTTATCTATTCATTGTATGGATTCACGGGGACATAAGAAGTGTGTCTTAGACACTTCCTACTGAGCTTATGCTCACCCCCTTATTTTTAACATTTTTTCAGGATATGGAAAAGAGATGGCAGACGACGGTCCACCACAGGTTTAGATGAGCTTGAAGACCCATTCTATTTTGTTATCTTTTGTATTAGACTCTAATATTTTGTAAATGTAATATTAACTACCTTGTGACACTTTAGTTTAATTAGTATAATGTTGTAAGCTATGGACTTTTAATTCTAGCTACATTTTATGGACTGTAATTTGATGTAACTTAAGTGGGTTCCATGTTTGGATGAGATGGAGGAACGGGACTTTTGTATGTATGTAACCATTTTGGGAATGTAGTATAATATATGAATTGTGCGTTAGGACAGGATAAGTTAGATTTAAGGCCCAGTGAGGCCACTGCATTTATTTTTTTGTAATTCAATAGATTGTAGAGGGACATTTTCTGCGGAAGTTATGCCGAAATTTTTATACATTTTTATTATTATTTTGGTATCTTTTCGAGTCGTTACAATACCATGGTATCTTGTGTGGCTAATGTTGGAGCTCTATGAACACAAATACTCAACATGGAATTCATTATAAGAGTTAGAATATCCCCTTAATGCAATTTAATAAATTTGATCACTAGAACTTGGCAAGGGCATTTTAGTATAATATTTGCTAAATTATTTTTCTTTTATTTATTAATTCTTTTATAAAAGAAATTCAGTGATCATAAGGATTAAATTGGTTACTCAAGGAATATAAGAAGTAAGCATGCCTTAGGTGGGACAACATTTATTTTCCTTGGGGCTACTTATAGATATTCAGTAGTGGAGGGACTTATATGCAATTATTTAGTATGACAGGGTCTTGTTGTAATTTCTGAATCCTAAAGTGCAATTACAATATTATTGTGGTACTTATTGTAATTAATTAGATATGATAGAGTTATTATCTAATTGAAGCAAGGATAAGAATCCCTTTTGATCCTCATCTCTGACCCCATCTATATACACGATATATCTCTCAGGTTAATTATTCGGTTTTTCACGCACAAATCTGGAATACAGAATAATCGAGAGTGAGAGCTATAGGGATTCCACAAACCTATGTGTTCCGGAGATATAGAGGTGAAGGTTTACTGGTGTTCAAGGCCTAAAGGAGGACTGATCTAATTCACTGTTATTCTCGGAGTGTTGATGATTAATCAATCGTCCAATGTATGAAATCATATACAAATAGTTATTGATTTGGTGACATATCATGTGGTTAAGATGCAGAAAATTTATAATTACTTCCATTTTGCCTACACATACCACAGGCGTGCTCAGGAAATTGGAAGAGAATTTTGCGGTTGAGAGGGGTGGCCATGACAATGATGCGGAAGAGGGCAGGTTCAAGATTTGACACATTCTTTTGGGAGGACAACTGAACTGGGGGAGTCCCTCTTTCACAAAGATCCACTACAGAGACTATTCAGCACTTTGGCATTCCTCCCAACCACAAGCTCTCTTCGTTTGTTATCAACAACAATTGGAGCTTCCTATCTATGGTGATAGTGGATTTCCCTGAGCTCTAGACACTTGACTCTCCAACTGATGCCCATGACTCTACTATTTGGATCCCCTCTCCAATAAGTACCTTCTCAATAAGCCACACAATGTTTTGGCTAACATCGCACCATCAACACATGTCTAGTAGCACCACGGGGTTTTCGGGAAATTATCCGTGCTTCCTATCCGACAACTTTTGACAACATTGTAATAAAAAATAGAAAAAAGTACACATGGAGTATAACCTACGATTTTTTTCAGATTTGGCGACACGAACCTTTATTACTATTACTCATTTAGGGGTTCTAAATAACAAAATAGTCTATTTTTTTGAAGGTTACCTCATCTGTACATTCAACAATCATATATATACAAATATTTTTTTTAGTTTTATCTTATAAATTTATATTTTAAATGCTTAATAAGATTAACGTGTAATTTTAAAAATCTTATTAATCAAACGACAATTTGGGCAAGTATAATGCACAGATTTACTTTAACTAGCCCCACTGCATCAAATTGACCACATTATTTAAATCGAGGTCGAAAACATATTTGTTCTGACTGAGGGAGAAATATGAAAATATGTATTCAATTACTTGGTTGAATAATGAAATTCTCCATAATACATACGGAGTACAAAGTGGTAACGTATTGTTGGCGCATTTCACACGCTAATCTCTCTCTTCCTCGTTCCCATGACCTAATCTGAAGATTGCCGGGACAACTCCTTCCTTTACGATTGCAAGTAGTTGATTCCTAAGTAGGTTAGTGTATGTATCTCTCTTCAGTTTACAAATTTCTCTCTCGTCTTTCTCGCTCTCTCTCTCTCATATTTTCATGGTTCACTACTTTTTGTGTTCTGGGACGAATGAATTTTTAGAGAATTCTGGATGGGCACATTGATTTCTGAAACAACTTTCGTTCTTGAAGTCCGAATTCGAGTGTTATGGAGCATCCGATCGACGCCAAGTAGATCGATCGAAATTTCTTCGGTGGAAATATCTAGTCGGTTGATCGCTGTAACTTCCATTTGAAACCGAGTATTCTGTTTGCTTATTCTCTCTCCTTTTGCTTTTCTTTTTCTCCATCACACAAGCCCTAATTTTCTCTTAAAGCAACATCTCTATCTAACCTTCAAAGAATGAGGTCATTGTGCTTAATTTGTAAGCTCAGCCATCTAAAAACAGATTCCTCACTTGTCTTGAAGAAGTAACACCTTGTAGGGATCTTACCTGCGATTTTCTTGTATAAGACTTGAAAGGAGATGTTCCTCATACTTCTCATATAGCAAATCTAGCTTCTTCTCTGACTTTAGAATCTATTTTGTCTCTCATTTCTTGTTGACAATGTGTTATTGATTGTTGGTTTCAAATTGTGATATGATTTCTGTATGCATACGGTTTATAAACATTCTAGATTTTTAATCTTCTTTAGTTTGGAAGGGGTAATTTGGTATTGGTTCAGTGTTTAATTATCATATAATGAAAATTTGTTCATTCATTCCTTCAATAAATTTCATAGACAAAAAAGAGGTGTTTATCAATCAATCTTATATATGAAAATAATTTGGTATTGGTTCATTATTTAATTTTCATATAATGAAAATTTTTATGAAAATAATGTTAGTTAGTTGTTGCTTAGTGTTCAATTAATTTTGATTCCTATTGAAGATTCGTCATATATGGATCAGTTGTTATTGATTGTTGGTTTCAAGTTGTATACATGGCGATATGTGATTAAATTATGTATGCATGCAGTTTATGAGTATTTTAGCTTTTAATTGGTATTATGTATAATTTTCGATGGCTGATATTATGAACAATGTGCAATGCAGATATTGATCAGAAGGAGAAGCTTGCGACTTTGTCAACAAGGAGCTTAAACTGTTTTTGATGGCTAATCTACAATGGTCAATTCCTTCAATGGTTGATGGCCTGAACCGAGTTCAAAGAAAGGTCCTTTTCTGTGCTTTTAAGCTTAACATTTACAAGGACGTAGAAGTTTCAGAGTTCTCTCTTTATGTAGCTCTTGAATCTAATTATCTTCGTAGTAAGCGGGATCTTGCCAGTGCCATTTTTTGCATGGCACATGATTATTTGGGCACCAACAACATAAATCTTCTTGAACCAAATGTCCTATTTGGAACTCGTTACCTAGTGAGTCGAACAAACAACTTTCAGCTCTCGAAATTGATATTAAAAGTTATTTTGTTTGCTTTAACTTTCATTTCGTAGATTAATTTGTTCTTTTACAGGGAGGCAAAGATCATGATGCTGTTCCTACATATAGATACACTCGGCTGTCTGCTATCACACAGTACCTGTTCCCCAAAGATTATGATATTCTGCTTGAGTACATAAAAGAAGATGGAAACTCTGTTGAACCTAGTTGGTGAGCTTTTTACGGGTGACAAATGGATCAGTGTGTAGGTAATGAAGGTATTGTGGATGTCAAGCTAATCTCTTTTATAATTCAGACATGCCAATTATACCAATGGTTCTAGTCAATAGAAGTACTGAAGTCATAGTGACCGGAGATCGATCTTATATCCCAATATATAATCCGACGAACATTGTTTCAAATTTGAGGTGTTTACTAAATGATAAGCCAATGCAGCCAATGCAGCCCTGGTACAAAGGATTTAGAGGAAATATTAAGAAAGCTGCAGCAGATGGCTACACTATCGAAGGACTAATAGAGGAAGTCGATGCAACTACACTCAGGATTACAGAGCTACCTATTGGAGTATCGAGTCAAGATTATATAGACTTTCTGCGATCGATGACGACAGGGAATGATCCATTCATCAAGGTATGGCTTTATTCTTTATTGCTGGTATCAAAACTACAACTCACACAGTATCACACACACAAACCTCCCAATAGGAAGTTGAACACCTTGAATTATCATGTGGGAGGAACAGATACAAGGCTCTGTTATTTTATTTTCTTATTTTCTCTCTCTCTCTCTCTCTCTATCTCTCAGTCTCACTCCAACTCTCTCTTTCTCTCTCTCTTTTCCCCTGAGAGAGACCTATTTTGGAACTTGAACACCTTGAATTGTCATGTGCTAGGAGGCTCAGTAATATAAACAAAAAGTGTACTGGAAATCGGAATAATTATAGCAAAGTTTTCATGTTGTAGGATTACATAGAGCGCTTTGCTGCTGACACAACTGTAAATTTTGAAGTCATCTTACCAGCGGAGAACTTGAGCATGGCCAAGCATGAGGGTTTGCTTAAGAAATTTAAGCTTACTTCTACGATCAAGACAAGTAACATGCGCCTGTTCAACCGAGAAGGCATGATCAAGAAATATGACACCCCTATACAAAGTATGAAATTAATACCATAGGCTAATTTAGTTTATCCTTTGTATTATAACTTCGCTTTATAGTAAATTCATTTCTTTCCTTCTGCAGTTCTTGAGGAATTCATTCCTATAAGACTTGAATTCTACGAGAAAAGGAAGGCAAGTGAAATTAAATTTCTGACATTTGAATTTCTTGTTTACTTTATGGACATGGCTGCTAACTAGAAAATAATTTTGTGCAGAAGTATGTGTTATGCAATCTTGAAATGGAATTGTTGAAACTGGAAAACAAAGTTAAGTATGTAACTGAAGTTCTAGAAGGGAAGATCAGTTTTTTCCAGGGGAACATTGATAGTCTGGTAATGCTGTTGAAAGCAAAAGACTTTATGACTTTGGGGAAGATAACAAATACTCCTGAAGCAGCAGTTCCTGAAGAAGATTATGAATACATACTCAGAATGCCACTTCTGACCTTAACTAATGATGGGTATAAGGAGCTATGTTATACAGGAGATATGCTTAAAAATCGTGTTAATGATTTGAAAGATGAAACTCCGAAGTCTATGTGGTTGAAAGATCTTGGCAGTTTTGAGAAGTACTTCTTGAGGGTGTGAAACCCAGTGCAGTTCCGAAGAATGCTTCTAAGAAGCAGAAGTTGTCAACTGTTGGTCCTCACCTCCGCCGCCACCAAGAAAGTAGTTGTAGTAATTACGGGCAAGTCCGACATTGAAGGCGTTGTCACTCTCACCCAAGAGCATAATGGTCGATTCTTCAGCTCTCTAATTAAATAGGTCTTATATTTTCTTGTTTGATTTTGTTATTATGTTTCTGAACTTATCAAATATTTATATGTTTTTGAGCTGAACTTGTCAAATATTTTTATTTATCAAATATTTTTATGTTTTTGAGCTGAACTTTCCATATCTCTTTGTGTATTTGAACTTATCTTCACCGAATTGACTAGAACCTAGAGATTTTATATTTAATTTATATATGTGTGTCATGTACTTCAATTTAGTCTTATAACTAAATGTTGTTAACGCATGCAAAATTTCATTAATCCATATCCCTATGTGATTGTTACGATCGTCAATAGTTGTTATGGTCATCAATAGTTTTGGTAGGGATATTTTTCTCACCTTTCAAAGCAGTTGAAGATATTTGGTGGGGGAGTCAAACATACATGTTATGGGTAATATCCACCCAATAAATATGCACCATTTTAGTTAGTTTCACAGCAATTTTTTAAGTGTAGGCGGGACCAATTTGATTTAATTGTGCATGGACATAGTATGTCTAACTCTCCAAATATCCATTGAAGATATTTAGTAGGTTAGTCGGACATAGGGATGGCAACGGGACGCGGGGGGGTGGGGGGGCGGAGATCTCATTCCCCATCCCCATTCCCGGCCAAAATTTTTACCCCCGTCCCTGCCCCCATACCCGTTTAAAATTTCAATCCCACCCCCATCCCCGCCCTTGTCCCCACCCCCATACTCGTTAAAAATTTCAATCCCACCCCCATCCCCGCCCCCGCCCCGCCCCGCCCCGCCACCATCTTCCCCGCCCCTGTCCCCGTCACCCTCGCCCTCGATTAAGTTTTGCTGCTTCTCAATATCACACATATACATTAAGGAAAAAATCACAGAAAAATTCTCAGTTCCAATTGTTTTAAAAAAAAAAAAAAAAAAAAATCTCAACAAAATGATTAAAAATCTCAGTTCCAGTTGTAAAAAATGAAAAATCTCAACAAAATGATTAGAAATATCTCAACAAAATGATTAGAAAAATCTCAGTTCCAATTGTAAAAAAAAATTAAAAATCACAGTTCAATCAAAAACAAAATGATTTGATCTATTATATATATACACACACACACACACACACACATACAATCACCTCGTAACAGTGAAGTCCTTAGTGATGGAAAGGGAAGAGAAGACACATAGAACAAGAATTTCTTCAACCAGTTTCCAAAAATAAAAATAAAAAAAAATTCTTCAACCGATGCCTGCGAGGGGGAAGAGACGATGTCGGAGACGGATTCGGAAGGACGGGGAATAGCAGACGTGGTTGTCGAATCTTAGGAGAAGAAAGAGAGAAGATGAAGATGAGGAGGCGATGTAGGTGCAAAATTTCGCCCAACCAATAATGATTGAGAAAAATAAAACAACTCACTCAAAAACAATAAAAATAAATAAGAATAGTGTGTAGAGAAGCGTAGAATTGCTTGATCCTTTATTGGAGGCCTTAGCCTCTATTTATATACAAAAGATTGCCAGATTATGGTAGGACTCGCATTGCTTGCCCTCCAATTCTTTCTATATAACCATTCTTTTCTAATAGAGTCTTTTCCATTGTCGAATTTTCCATACATAGAACTTGCCTTGTACAGAACTTCCTATCAGAATTTTCCTTCTACAGTAAATCCTTCAAATGGTAGGACTTGTGCATTCTTGGGCCGAATTTATTTTGATCCGGCTGGGCTTGAGTAACAGGCCGGATGTTAAATACTCATAAGCTGGGCTGATGACTTCTTGATTCGGCCTTGATGGAAGTGTGGAGGACAAATAACAATGGTCTTGGGCTGTAAATACCCTCAACTTGGGCTTGGGCATGACGGGCCTTATATGTCCTTGGAATGTAGATATGGGTAGTGGTGACGTGTGTGCTTTTTATTGGAGGGAGTTTTTTCCCTCCACACTTTGCCCCAAATTCCATTTTTAATTGAGTGACGGCTCCTATTAAAGAGGGAATTGAAACCGGTTTTTACTTCGCTTCAGAAACGGTTCGTGGTCTTTCATTATTACTCCGTCACACAAGATTTTGCAAGAGTTACATTTGCCCTTGCTGCACTTCTGCGTCCTTCATTCCATCGCTTTGTCAGGTTAGTTTCGCATCTTTCTCTTCAATCTTTCATTATGAGTACTTCATCTACTCCCCGAACGTGCAGACCTTGGGGATTCTGAATCCACACCTTCATCTTCCCCCGTTCGCATTAGGGCTCCCCCTCCTAGGGTTTCTACAGATCGCCCTTCGTTGAATCCATTAGGTACTTCCCCTCTTCCAACCGAAACATCCACCTCAGGCTCTGATTATGTTCTTACCCATGAAGAGAAGAAAGCAATCATCTCTATTCGCCGCATCAAGTTCTCTATTGCTTCGGTAATGGAAGAATTTGATATTCCTGAGGGAGTAGAAATTGCAGAATATCCCGAGGGTGCCGATTTCACCTCCGGCGAGGGAATTGAGGAGGATGAGTTGCTTCTTTCGGTAGGGCACCTTAACGCCCTCCGATTCCCTCTTCATCCCTTCTATCATTTAGTTTTCAATAAGCTAGGTCTCGCCCCCCTTCAGGTAAATCCTAATTTCTTTCGCATCCTTTCGGCACTGTTGGTGCGCCGAAAATTAGAGGCTCTGGATTTGACCCTTGCCGACCTTCTGCTTACTTACAATATATCTAAGCATGGGACCGAGCCTGGTCGCTTCTTTTTTACTTCTTCCCTTCATCAGAGGATATGCACAAACCTCCCTTCATCCGAAAAGAAATGGAAAGAAAGGATGGTTGTAGTTAAAGGAAAATGGTTCGTGTCCCAATCAATTGCGCTCCCTATCCCGCGCAAATTCGGGAAATTAGGTATAGAATATTTAACCTCCCTTCATACCAAGTGTTCTGGCTGTTTTCCTTGCCAAGTCTTAATATTTCGCCGTATTTATGAGTTTCTTGGTGTTTTTTCAGCTACATTCCCATCCTCCGCAGTAAGGAACAAACTTTCTTTTCTTGAGGAACGAGTCTGGAGTGACCCCTCGCCTATCGAGGACCTGCTAACTTCTTCAAACCTCAAGGACATTGCCTCCAGTGCCGTTGCTGCAGACCTCATGGATTTGTCTCTACCATCCTTTGACAGTTTCCCCATGACTGAGGCTTTAAAAAAGAAAGCCGAAGATGCCCAACCCTTGGTCGTCATTGGATCAACTGAGGATGAAGTGGAGATTGAGGAACCACCATTGAAGAAATCTCGCCTCAACCCCTCATCCTCTGGCAAGGGCAAGGTCCCTTCTACAAGCAGAGGGAAAAAGGCTGGAGAGGCCGAACCTGAAGATGAAGTCAGGGCCTTTGTTCTAGCTGAGACTGGGGCTCCTTGGACTCCTTCATTCACCAGGGCTGACAGGTCAGTCCTGCACTCAAGGGATTCTGTGATTACAGACCCTTCAGCTGCACTGGCGGTGGCTCGAGGAATGTGGCTCCCAAAGGACGAGGAAGCCATCAGCCAAATGGGGTTGGAGCAACTACTCACCTCTGCCCCAGTCCGGGCCATAGAGGTTCGCATTGCTCCTTCAGCATTAAGTTACTCTTGCTTGCTTATGTTTCTCTTTATGCTTATATTTGCTTCCCTGTTAAACAGAGTCTATACCACACCATGGCCCTCTGCGCCACTGCTGAAGCTCAATCCCTCTCCATCAAGAAGTTGGAGAAGGATCTTGACAATGCAGAGAAGAGAGCCACTACTGCCTCTACCAATCTGAAGATAGCTTCTGAAGCCAAGGATGCGTATAAGAGGCAGTTGTCAGCCTCTGAGGCTAAGGTGGATTCTCTTCAGGCCGAGGTTCAACGCCTGACCGAGGCTCTTACTACTTGCTTCAAGGCGGGGAAGCAAATGCAGGGGCGCTACTCTTGTCTGGCGCACCTGGCTAGTGCTAAAGCGTTCCGGTCTGGCTATAATCAGGGCTCATGCCAGAGCTTCCCATACGGACGCCTTTGACAAGAAAGTGGGGGTGCACTTCCCATACGATGAAGGGCCAGAGGCTTTGGAAGCTGAAATCCGCTTTGCCGAGATGGTGAAGGCACACCTGAAGGGTACTCCTAGCTCCCCTGCTCCTGCGGCTTCAACTCCTCCTACCTCAAGTCCTAATGTAGTGGATGCTTTTGAATCTACTCCCTTCGATCCAAAGAGGAAGTAGAGCCATGTATTTTGTTTTTATGAACAGCCTGTTTTGGGATAATGAATATAATTTTTTTTTTTAGGCTTGCCTGACTTGTTTTTGCTGTATGCTCTTGATACTGTTCATATTTCTCTGTCCGGTAATGTGTTTAAACACTAAACATTGTCTTTATGCTTCGGATTTATGTTATCCGTGAAAACGCAAGGATTGTGGGAAGAAGGAGATCCTTTTAATAGTTTAGTTGATATCGCAGGATGATTCATATGGACAATGATTTAACTGTTAAATGAACCCTCCTTACCTTTTACTTGCCTGTGGTAGACGTATACATACTCTTCCCTTCTCATGTGTTCTTGATGTGAGGTGGAGTATGATGAACTTATGATATATCCGCATCCACAGGGTTTTAAACACTTGGAGTCTGGTAGAAAGAGTTCTGATCCGAGTACCAGAGGTCTAAAACGAATTACTCCTCGGCACTGAGTGTGGAGGACTAGTGCTGAATAGGACACTTAGGGTCCGAAGCTGTCTCGGATACTTAGGATCCGAGGTGAATTATACATTCCCTGGCGTGGAGCCGGAGGGGGGTTTCGCCGAGCCGAACACTTAGGGTCCGAGGTGAGATTTCGCCGAGCCGAACACTTAGGGTCCGAGGTGGGATTTCGCCGAGCCGAACACTTAGGGTCCGAGGCGAGATTTCGCCAAGCAGAACACTTAGGGTCCGAGGTGAGATTTTCGCCGAGCCGAACACTTCGGGTCCGAGGCGAGATTTTTGCTGAGCCAGATACCTAGGGTCTGAAGCGAATGACCTACTCTCCGGCGCTGAGCCTGAGGGGAGGTTTAAATGAATCACTCCCCGGCGCTGAGCCAGAGGAGAGGTTTTGCCGAGCCGGACACTTAGGGTCCGAGGCGAGAGAACTACTCCCCGGCGCTGAGCCTGAGGGGAGGTTGTGCCGAACCGGACACTTAA